TGGCCTATAGTTGATGTAATACTTGTTAACGGCGAATGGCGCACCACGGTGCAAAGGTCCCTTTGGAGCCATGGCGCATGGCACGGCGCGCACCATTTTGAACATGGCGCAAACTATACAAGAATTATAAAATAAAAAGCATGAATATGAAATATCATTAAACTGAAAGACAAGTTATCATAATAATGAAAGACAACCATGGTCATATATAGATTCAAATAAACAACACCCAAATATCTTATAATTCAAAATATTACAATCATTTTTTTAAAGATCAATTATTTTATAATAATTTAATCAACTCTTCTTGGGAATCATCATCAACAACAAATGCCAAAAAAAGCTTCGTTATCTTCATTAGCATTTTTTTAATAAGCCTATAAAATAATAAAGTTTTATGGTTCCTTTGCCCTATACATTTCTTTTAATGAGTCCAGTTTGGCCCTACAAGGATTAACTTGAGCTAAGAACAACCAAAGCTTGAACCTAAGACTAAAGCAACATCACCAAAAGCAACTGATACGGACAATAATGCATCGTTCTTTCACAATAACATATCAATAACACCAAGGTCTTGGCAGGCATTGCATCAATCATCCAGAAAAAAAGAAATGCTCCCAAATTTAGTACAACTGTTATGTTTTGGCATTTAATTAGTCCAATGCAATACCTTATGGAGAATGAATTTGAAAACAACTTCCTGTGACAAAAATATTTCCCAAATTTTATGAAGTGTTAAGGGAAATTATCATTTATCTTTCCTAAACTAAACTAATTATATGTAGCCCCTTAAAACCAAACAAGATATTAAATACTTTTATTTTTTCAGCCAATTTGATGATAAAATGAGTTTCTAATTAAAATTATATTTAAAGTTTTACCATATAAAATATACATTATATGCTAAATGTTCAAAAAACTTCTTTATGTGTTACTATGCCAAAAAAAAAAATTGTCATTTTACATTTTATTTGATAAATATAAAATCTCTTTTATTATATTTCTTAAAGGTAAAAGAGGTGTAATAATAATATAAGACTAACGAAAGATCAAAACGATCAAACGTATTATAATAATAGTGAAATCATTAAAAAAAGTGCAGAAATTTAGTACTTCAATAAAGCATTGCGTTTTGCACAAAATAAAATTATATAATATTAAAAATTCAAATAAAAACAAAAAAGAAAAACTTCACTAAACATGCCCTCTTTCTTTCAAACAATAGCGCGTGCTATTTTGCACCGTTCGCCATGCGCCATGGTGCGCATATGGCACAAATAGCGTGCGCCATTTTGAACATCTGCGCCGCGCCATGCACATGGCACCGTATGTGCGCCGCGTCGCGCCTTGCGCCATGGCGCGTGCTATTTTGCGTCATTGACATATATGGTTGATGCTCCTGTAACACCTTCAACACCACTTTCAAGTGCTCCAAATGCTCCTCGTCCAACTTGAAGTACACCAGGATGTCGTAAAAAAATTAATATTAATATCCTGAGGTATGGTAGGAACACTTTGTTCACGAGGGACTAGAATGTTGCAGGGGCATTGGTGAGGTCAAATGGCATCACCAAGAACTTGTAATGTCTCTCATGTGTCAAGAAAGTAGTCTTCAGGACATCCTCCTCTCCCATCCTGATCAGATGGCATCCAGACTTTAGATCCATCTTCGTAAATACCACTGCTCTATATAACTCATCCAGTAACTCATCTATCACCAGAATAGAAAACTTATCTGGCACAATTTTCTTATTTAGAGCCTGATAATCCACACATAATCTTCAGCTCTCGTCTTTCTTCTTAACCAGTAAAACTAGCTAGAAAAAGGGCTCACGCTCGACCTGATGATTCCTACCTCCAATATCTCCTACATCAACTTCTCAATCTCATCATTTTTAAATTTGAGTGTAATAATAAGGCCTGACACTAATCGGTGACACTCCATCCCTCAAGATGATAATATGCTCCTGCTCCCTCGATGGTGGCAATCCTTAAGGTGATTGAAATGCCTCACTAAACTATTGTATAAGCGGCTCTACTGAAAGGGAGATGTCTCCCCCCTCCTCAAATCTGATCCACTCTAAATTATGCAACTCCACCTGAAACCCTCCTCCCACCTCCTATATGGTTCTCACCATGGTTTTGAGAGTCACTGTGGCTTTGAATATGCATCCCTTGATCATCACTATTCTTCCCTCCACCAGTAGTTCCTTTGTTAGCGCTACCCAATTGACTTTGGTATCCCCCAAGGTCTATAGTAATTTCATTCCCAGGATGACATCAGTGATCTCTAATTACAATGGAAGGAAGTCCTCCATCACCTGGACCCCCTATGTGGTCAATACCACCCCCTACACACCCCTCTACCTGTCTCCACCTTCCCTATGTCCATCATCACCCATAGCACCTTGTGTCCATACCTCTCATCACATCTGAAACACAGCCCCTTCGATCTCTTCTCCTATGACTCCTCAATAAGCCTCTTGAATTTTCCCTTGGTTGTCCCTCCTACAATCTTCTCCTTCGAGGTCTCCCAAGAATACCCGGTGTCGACCCTTTGGGTGCTAAAAGGTAATAGTCATCCAGTACAAACTTTCTGAACTGCTGCCTCTAGCCCCCCTCTCTAGGTGCTTCTGGCCTCCACTAACTGAGCTAACTCCATAGCCTCTCCCAGATCATGAGGCCTCTAACAATTGCTCGGATCTCTGGTTTGAGTCATTTCATAAAGTTTCCCTCTAGTACAGTCACTAAACCGGTCCAGTCGGCTAGGAAGGTACTAAAATCTTTCACGGTACCCCACCACCAATCCTTCCTACGTCAATGCAAAGAACCAATCTGTCCTACGTCAATGCAAAGAACCAATCCCTCCTACGTCAATGCAAAGAACTAATCATAGAAGTACCATCCCCGGCTAGTTCGAAAACATTCCAACAAGCAATTCTTGAACTCTTTCTAGCTCCACATGAGTTGCATCATGTCTCTTCACTAGTACCATACCAATGCTTTCCTCTCCAAGCATAACTCAGCTATCGTTAGTCTCTCCTCAATCAACCCATTGACGGCAAAATACATTTCCAACCTGTAAATCCTCTCCCTCAAAAATAGGCATTTTTAGCTTCCTTACCCTTGAATCTCCTCTTTTCCCGTTGATTCCTCTATAACTTCCCATTACTAAAGTGGGTGCCCCCCCCCCAAGTGTTTCGATCCTCTCTTCCACGCTCGTACCCAAACCCATCATCAAAATCCCCTCCATCTTTCAAAATCAGCACCTCCCCGATTATATTCAACCCCTCGTCTTTCAAAATCAAAGCTCATTCGTTCATATCCAACCCCTCACGCCCACCCCATACCTTCTACCTATCTCCTCCCTAGGAATGGACTCTAGAGGAGGTATTCTCTCTTCTCCCTCCAAGATATCCACATCGTGATCATCCCTCTGGTTGCCGAAATTTTAATTTCTTCCTATAGGCGCTCTTTCCTCTATGCTATCGGTTGGACTTGAAGATCCAACACCTTCATCATCTCCTCTAGAGTTGAAAAATTTGTCCTCCATTGATGAAATTCAACTCTCAAACCATACTTGTCAACGGTGAATAGCGCAGCACGTCACAAAGTTCCCCGTGGAGCCATGGCGCATTGCGCACGGCACGCCACGTGCCATTTTGAACACAGCGCAAAACAAAAAAAAATAATTATAAGCATCATTATATGAATCTAATTTTAGAGTATCAATCAAGTTGGGTAATGCTTGGTTGAATATGTTTGTGGTCCAAAGTCCAAACCATAAAATGAGCTTCAAGTTCATCTAAAATTTTTACTAAAATAAAGTTGAAATAAACTCCATTGCGCAAACATTTCGCAAATGGCGCTCGTCAACTTGAACATATGCGTCACGCCATGAACTGACCTCATAGGTGCGCCACATCGCACCATGCGCCATGGCACGGACCATTTTGCGCCATTGACAAGTATGCTTCAAATGCCGCTTTGATTTGGTACGCTTCTCGTTCAAGATGCTCTTCTAGGGCATCAGCTTTCTTGGCCGCCATAGATCCCGAATCGTGCTCTGATAACAATTTAATGGGAAATAGATGTAATTTCTACCAAATCAGCAAACCACAAGATACAATGTATCTTCAACTGAAGAGGATGATCCGGCTCTCCCAAATCCCTAGCCATTGATAGAAGCACTCACAACAAAAAGAAACCTAAATTCATCAAAAATCAGCATGAAAAAGAAACCCTAGCATAAACAAACTACTTAAATCATACAAAATAAAGTAAATGTCAAAATAGCCCTCCCCCTCTTCTTTTTCCCTCCTACCAAGCCCCTCCTCGTTCAAATTTATCGTGGGCCCACTCAAAGAGGGGCAGAGTTACTGCGGCGGGAGAGACTTTTGGGTGGAATCACTGTAGGTGGGCGGACTTCTACCTTCTATATATGACTGCCGATCCAGGAAGGATCGGTTGGACCGATCCAGGGAGGTCCGATCTAACAGAATCAAGTCATAAGAAATCTTAAAAATAGTTTTCTTAGAATGGAACTTTAGCAAGCTTCCTAGAAAAGAATTTTAATGAATTTTAAGTTTTTTATCTAATTTATTACATAATTATTTTATTTAATTATTCACAAATTTATTAATATTATGATATAAATTATAATTGTATAGAATTCATAATAATATCTAATTTTGGCATTCAAACCACTGATATAATTGACAACAACTTTTTACCAAATAGTCAAAACTCTTACAATACTTTAGGTAGCAACCTTAACATAATTTTACCAAACATTCAGATGCTTTATCCAAAAGAACAACATAACAATCATTATATAGCATGGCAAAACACAACAGACTATAGTCAAGCTAAATAAAGCCTTACAGGCATTTGCAATTCTTTTTCTTTTTATTCTCAAAATTATGATACAAAAACATAGAAATATGGTCCCCTGGAAAAATAAAAAAAGAAACTTAAAAATAATTCAGAAGAAATGTTACTGTAACATCTTCTTCTTTGACTGAATATTGCTTGAAAGTCTGTAAAGCTCCCTCCAATAAAGAATTTGTGATGATCTCATTAAACCGTGCCACAACCTTCGAGGAAAACCAAATTGATGAGGAAATCAAAATTAGTCATCATCAAATGTGATAGTTTCAACATTCTCCTAAAGACCTATTTGTTTTGACTTTACAGGTAAGGTTAGACTTGCAAGACATAGAGGGAGGGAGATTAGATAACGCAAATGCAAAGTAGTAAGGGTACACAACTCCCCTTGACCTGTTGGTTGAGAGCTTTGGCTATCAACTAAGAGATCTTGGGTTCGAGTCTTGTGTATTTAATTGGCCTAAATGTCCAAAAAAAAAGTAAAAGGGTGTAGTAAAGAGGTAGAAAAGGCAAATTGTTAATCCGTTAACTTGTAGAAACCATAAAACTTCTTAGAAAAGATTCTTCCAAAATTATAGGAGTAAGTAGTTGTCAAGGCGTTGGCTGACAATAAGAAAGGATGTTGATGGAAAGCATTAAAGGACAGTAGTTGAGCAAAGAAAAAAAGGGTTTCGATGGAAATCATTAAAGAACTGTTTGATTTGCTGCAAAACTAACGCAATGTAAATTAGTTCGCGTCACAAAAAAAAAACCTAAAAAGCAAATATACAAAGAAAACATTCAACATCAACTTTAATTTAAATCAAACACAAATAAATTACTTTCCACGTAAACAATTCTTCAAGCTTTCACAAATCAAACAACAGCAAAAGCAAATATAATAAATGATTTCCAAATATTATATAACTCATTTGAAAGCATTTGGGTGGACTCGTCTGCCTCTCTGACCTTTAAAGATGTTAAGTTCTTTAAAGATTCTATATTGCAAAATCTTGAACAACAAAATGGCAAGCCCGCAAAAATATTTCAAAAAACGTTGATTTCAAAAGCCATAGAAGCATTCTATCAAATAGGCTATCTACTGGAGGCAGTAAAACAGAAAAAGCGACATTTTGCAGAACCAAACAAAACACAAAGACCTCTACGGATCAACAAACTGCACAACAACTAGAATAAAAAAAGTGCGCAGTAGCCAGCAGTAGCCAGCATTTTTTATTCGAATGAACTAGAATAAGGCTATTCACCACAGCAAAGCGAAGTCCTTTAGTGTTCGTCACCGATCCCACAAGATGCCGATTGCCGGCAAAGACCACAACTGGAGACCGAACATTTCTTGTCCGGACCAAGTCAGCTGGAGGAGCTGAGGGTACCAACGTCGAATAATCAATGGACCCACATGAATAGAAAAATGGGAGCAGAGAAGCCGGATACTCACCGCGAAGGAAATGAAACGGGAAAGTTAGGGTTTTGGTAGCGGTTTCAGGAAGAAATTGGGATGATTTGGTGGTCCTTAGCGCTACTGAAGTTGAGGGGAGTAGATGGCCAATTCCTGTTGCACCCAACGATGACATTCTCCCCCTCTCTCCCTCTCGCTGGTTCGCTAGCTCTCTTTCTCCCACTGAGATCAGCAAAATAGCCGCGCCTTTTTTAACCTATGAAAGTACTAATATTTATGCGCTTTGTTTGGTAGCTCCAGCATTTTATTTAAGTAGTATTTCACCGGAATATTGTTCGGCAACATTTATAATAAACGTTGTGTGACTGTTTCGTTAAATGGTTTGACATGCATTTTTAATTAAAGTATTTAAGTTGATTAAAAGATTTAAGACGGTCCCCTGAGAGAGTTTTAGTTTGTAAAAAGTTAGTTTCTTCTTTCCATCTTGACATACTTTGTATTTTGGAAGTAAAGATTTCTCTTGCTTCGGCTAATGACCTTTGGTTCATTAACTCTCATAAGGTCTTCTCGAATGAGCAAACCTGTGACAATTTTTCTTGTTCGATCCCGGGCAGAATTTGGTTGAAATGGAACCCCTTGGCTATTTTGTTCTCTCCCTTATTTATTTCTTCGTAGCTCATTCATGGGACTATTCGGTCGAGCTCCTTGCCTCCGACGCTTATTTCTGTTATTTATGCGGTCAACTCTCCTTTGGAAAGAGCTTCTCTCTGGCAGTAGCCCATTAATTTAGCTACATCTATCATTGCCCCCTGGGTCATTGTAGGGGATTTTAACTGTTGTAGATTTGTGGAAGATAAATCTGGAGGTAGACCCCTTCATCAGAGCCGCATGGAAGAAATGAATAGTTGGATTTTTAGCTCTGGTTTGAGTGAGCTTCCGTCTTCTGGATTATTCTACACTTGGTTTAATCAACAAACGGATAATCCTATTCATATTAAACTAGATAGGGCCCTTATTAACTCGGCTTGCTTGAATGTTTTCCTACATACTTTGATAAAGTGGAGGCCCTTGCTTGCTCTGATCACTCACATTTGCTGATTTTGCCAGACAACACTTCTAAGCCCAATACCAGATTTCAGTTTAAGAACTACTTGGTTTATTTGAGAGGCTTTTGGGATGGCTTGATTTCTGTTTTTGCCTCTCAAAACTTGGGAAGCCCTATTTTTTCTTTATATTCTAAACTATAGGGATTAAAATGTCTTATTTTGCAAAATAACTAGTCTAACTCTTCTTTCATATCCAACAGCATTAATGAGCTTCAGGATTTGCAAACCCATTGTATCTCTCAGATTCAAGTGAGGCCTTTGGTAACCTTAATATGGTTTTAAAAAACATCAATTCATCTCTCACCACTCTCCAAAAAGCTTGGAGTTCATGGGTAATTCAACGTGCTAAAGCCAATTGGCTTTCTAGAGGTGAGGACGATTTGGGGTTTTTATATGCTAAAATTAGATCCAAATTTAACACAAGTCAGATTAATGAGCTTCACTCTGATGACGGTATTTTTACTACTCATGCGGATATTGCTAAAGTGGCCATCCACTACTTCCAAAACCTCTATAATTCCCATGAGCCTATTAACTCAAGGTTGTCTCCTATTCATGTTGGATCCGTCATTGCTCCGGTGACTGATAATGACATTAAGGCTATTGTATTTGCTGGTTCTCTTAATGCAGCATCGGGCCCGGATTGGTTTACTTTTGAATTCTACAAAGCATCTTGCGATATCATTGATATGGATGTTTGTAGAGCTATTAAATATTTTTTTTCTTCTAGTTTTCTCCCTAAATGTGCCAAAGCTACTGCTATTGCTCTTATTCCGAAGAGCTCCCATGCTTCATCCATTTTGAATTACCGACCTATATCTCTTTGTAATGTATTCTACAAGATTATTGCTAAAATCATTGTGAACCGTATGAAAGAGGTCATGCATTTCATCATTCATAATAGTCAAGGGGGTTTCATTAAGCAGAGAATCTCCAGTGATAACATTGGTCTTGCTTCTGATGTTCTTAGTGAATTTAATTGCAACTCTAAGGAGAATTTCTTTTGTGCTAAACTGGATATCCGTAAAGCTTTTGATACCGTCTCTAGGGAGTTCCTCTTATCTCGCCTTCTTTTAAAAGGGTTCCCCCTTTGTTTGTTAACTGGATTAAGGGTTGCATTGAAGATGTCCACTTATCGGTTTGTATCAATGGGGCTCTAGAAGGTTTTATTCCTTCCTCTTCTAGGCTCAAACAAGGTTACCCTTTATCTCCGTTGCTTTTTTTAGTGGTGATGGATGCATTCTCCTGTGATATTGATACTAGCAATTTTGTTGGTATCTCTTGTGGTGAATTCTTTAAGAATCACCTTCTTTATGCAGATGACATTCTGATTTTTGGGAAGGCCTCTCTCATTAATGTTGATTATCTTAAAGATTCTCTTTCCTCTTTTTGCTGAGCATTTTGGCCTCAATGTTAATAATGTTAAATGTTCTACTACTTTCTCTAAGAACACTCATGATGCTAATGATATCACCAACCTGCTTGGTTTTCTTCAAAATGACAATTCTTTTACCTACCTTGGAATCCCTATATCCACCAGAAAACTCAAAATTTCTTACTTCCAACCACTTCTGAGTAGGCTTTATACTCTACTTGCTGGTTGGAAAGTTAAATTTTTGTCTTTTGCAGGTATAATTCAGTTCATCAAGTTCACCATTGCTAACATAGAAGACCACTGGATCCGTGGAGCTATTTTACCTAAAGCAATATGCAAGACTATTGATAAATTAAGCTCTATATTTCTCTTTCATGGTTCTTAGAATGGTAGAAAAATGCATTTAATTGTTTGGATAAATACTTATCTCCCTAAATGCTTTGGGGGGCTTGGTTTGTCGGCCATTGACGCTCTCCGTTTTAGCTTTGATTGTTCTTTTATATGGAGATTTTACTACTCTAATTCCATGGCTACGAGTTGGTTTAAATCTAAATTTATCTCCCCTTTGAAAGCTGCTTATCCTAAGGCCTCAAAATTTTGGAATTCCATTTGTCTCATTGCTGGTAGGATTAAAGGGCTTCTTAAGTTTCATGTTGTTAGTGACAATTGTAATTTATCAATGTTTTGGGATCCTTGGTGTGATGGCTTAGTTGTCTCGATCTTATTTAGCCTCCTGTTTCTTCAGGGTTCGTGGTCAAGGATTTTATCTCAGTGGGTGTTTGGTATTTGCCTGCTCATTTTGACCTTTTAACCGTGGATCGTATCTCTTCTATACAAATTTATCACCAACCTCAAAGCCCCATTTCCTGGATTGGCAATGAGATACCATGTTTTAAAACTTTCTATATGCAGTTTTATGCTTATAAAATTAAGGTTCCCTGGTTCAAATTTGTTTGGCACCGGCATTTTGCTCTGCGTTTTTCTTCTTTTGTTTGGTTGGCCTTGTTAGGTGGACTTAAAATAGCAGATGTTCTAGCTAAAAGAAATATTGTGTTCCCTGCTTTGTGCCCATTATGCAGGAATGGGGATGAATGCATTTCTCACTGTTTCTTTCAATGGAAATATTCTTTTAAGGTTATTTTTGCTCTTCTTCCCTCCCTCCAAAACTTTTTGCTCAGGCCTACTCTTCTGCAGGTCTTTAAATTTTTTGATGATAAGCTGCAACTTCATACTTATGAGAAAATTTTTGAGTTTTTTGTTGTCTGCTGTACCGTTTACCATCTGTGGAGGGCCTGTAATGAAAAATTTTTACTGCCTAGAACAATTCTCGTTTGTACGAATTTTGTTTGTGAACCAACCGAGGAGATCGTCTCGGGATGCATGCATCATGAATATCGTTCAGATGATCGGGGAAAAATCTCATCCCATTAAATATCTATTTTTCATTTTGAAGAGAGAGAAATCGGCTAAGGAGAGAGAGAAAATGAAGGAAAGAGGAAGAAAAGACAATTTTGGGCAACTTCGGTCCGTTTTCGTCTGTTGCCGTAGTTGGGAAAGTTGTTCTACTCGAGGTAAGGCACATTATTCCTTTCTCAATTTTAAAAAATGTGAGTTTTGACGGATTTTCTGTGTCAAATTTGTTTTCCGTTAGCAAAAAATGGGTATATCTTTGCACCGGTAAAACTTTTACCTCGTAACTTTTGGTATGTTTTTGAGATAATGATTTTACACGTTTTGAGTATTTTCTGAAAAATTTTCACTGGGTATTTTAAATTCTACGAGGTTTTTTATCGAATAGAAAATTATCCGTATGTTGAAAAATATTGCTTTATTACAAAAAAAAGTCTTAAAATGATGTTTTACATGATCTCTGATAATTTTGTAAATTTTTGAAACTGTAAATTTCTGATCCGTTGAATTTATGTTGTCTACCGTTATACTCTCTAACGATATTCTGATACGAATCTAATTTTTCTGAATCTGATATGATTTGATGTTTGATGTGATTTGAATGATATCATAAGGGAGTTATAGGGGGCCATAATCCTTTGATATTATATCTGTGTCAGGGAAGGGAGGCATAAGGGGCCAGAATCCTTTGAGATTATGTGTGTGTCTGGGAATATGAAAATGAATTCTGATGTGATAATTATGTATATCTGATATGTTCTGGTGCTGTAAGCACGAGGGGAGGCATAAGGGGCCAGAGTTCTTTGAGATTCTGTTTGTGTCAGGGAAGGGAGGCATAAGGGGCCAGAATCTTTTGAGATTCTGTTTGGGTCAGGGAAATCTATTCTGAACTTTGATTTGAATTCTGATTTGAATAATTCTGTGCCATGAATTTGGTTCAGCTCTTCTATCTTTGTTATCTTATCTGTTATATACGAATATATGTATTCTGTTTGATTTTTGTTCTGTATGAATCTATGAACTCTGTCTGATATTCTAATTTCTATACGAGTATCTGAATTATGTACAGTTGTTTGAATAAACTATTTTTAAAGCTTTTTGTGAAAATTTTGAATGTGAGAATTTGGGAATTTAGATCAGCTAATGTGATCTTGTTGAGTTGTTAGCGCACTGTGGTCTTTTCATGGTTTTCAGGTTCTGGGAAAAGGAAGAAAGTTTTGGACTAGCCGTTCATGATCTGATTTAAAGCAATATGTTTATTTTTTTACTTTTGATTTTTGTACAGTCATGGCTATTTTTCTATTCTGTTAGGAGTGGAGTTTTGCATGAGTTCTTCTTCGTCGTTGTTCAACTTCACTCTTTCGACGACATTCCCTTCTTGTTGG